TTTTCAGGATTTTGATCTTTAGAGAATTTTAGACTTTAGGGATTCTGATTTTTCAGAAATTTAACATTCCAGAATATGTGTTTTGATATTTTGATTAGCATGAGGACACACAATCTATTTTTTTTTTTTAGTACCTAGGATTGAACCCAGGGGTCCTTAACCATTGAGCCACATCCCTGGTCCTTTTTCATATTTTATTTAGAGTTAGGATCTCACGGAGCTGCATAGGGCCTTGCTAAGTTGCTGAGGCTGGCTTTGAACTCACATCGTCCTGCTTCAGCCTCCTGAGCTGCTGGGAGTGCACCAGCACACCTGGTCTATTTTTCTTTTTATGGTAATTCAGTAAAATAGAATGACTGTGTTTCCTTATGTAGAGGTACCAATCCTAGTACAATTTATCCTGCATGTCTTTGGATAAAGTTGCATTTTTTTTTGCATCACCCCTGTATTAGTTATTTGTGACTGGATAAATTACTCTAAAATTTACCACCTTAAAACAATACATTTTCACCAGGCACAGTTGTGCATACTCGTGATCTCATTGACTGTGAAGGTTGAGGCAGAAAAATTCCAAGTTCAAAGCCACTCCCAGCAATTTAGCCAGACCATTTCTCAAAAAATAAAAAGAGTTGGGGATGTAACTCAGTGGTAGAGTTCTCCTGGGTTCAATTCCCAGTACAAGAGGTGGGAAGCATTTTCATTATCTCAAAGTTTCTGAAAGCCAGGGATCTGGGAGCAGCTCATCTGGGTGCCTTCATGGAAATCTATGAAGGTGAGTAAATAAAAACCTAAAAATGTTAAGATTTCCCTGGTGCCAAAAGAGAAAGAAGTATATAAGTCACTTTCAAAGCTAAATAAACCCCTTGCCAGTTTTGCACCTTAGACATGTCTTTCCTGGAGGCCTCTTTGAAATATGAATAATGAGGAAGAGAATGGTGCTCTGTCTCTCTGGTTGTGGAAATTTAGCCTAGATGCCTGGCTCCAAGTTACGATTTCCTCATGCTTGTCAAAAAGACACAGGGACTGGGGATATTCCTCAATGATGGAACACTTCCTTAGCATGCTTGTGACCCTGGTTTTGAATCCCAACACTGAAAAAAAACCTTTTTAAAAATAAATAAATAAATAAAGTAACATAATTTTTTTTCTTTGGGGATAAACAATTTATAGTTCAATGGATTGTATCTGCCTGGCTCTACAGAAGACTGAAATTTCTTTTTCTTTGGGAATCTAGTGGATTGTAGCAAACTACCTGTGATAATCATCACAATTGTTTTGAAGATTATTCAGTAATAAAATGTTTTCAGTCTTTTCTGCATTTTTTTTTTTAACCTACTGGGGATTGAACTCAAGGGAACTTAACCATTGAGCCACATCCCTAGGCTTTTTAAAATTTTAGACAAGGGTCTTGTTAAGTTGCTTAGGGCCTTGCTAAGTTGTTGAGGCTGGCTTAGAATTTGCAATCCTCTGTCTCTGCCTCTCGAGTTGCTGGGATTACAGGTGTGAACAACCATACCTGGCTCTTTTGTGCATTTTGAGCAGAGGTTTTTACTGATTTGGCAGATTTCATTTGTTTGTTTATTTGTTTTTTCCCCAAAACCTGGAAATGGAAGAGTTTTTTTTTTTTTAATTTGTAGATGGACACAATAACTTTATTTATTTATTTTTATGTGTTGCTGAGGATTGAACCCAGTGCCTCAAACATGCTAGGCAAGCGCTTTACCACTGAGCTATCAGCCCAGCCTCAGAAGATCTTATTTCAAATGATGTTTTCCCAACAATTAATGAAGACATCAACCAAGGTTGCATTCATCCAAAGGCTTGACTGGAGCTGGAGTACTGCTTCCAAGATAGTTCACTCCTGTGGCTGTTAGCAGAAGGTCACTTGATGGCTTTCCATGAGAAGACCACTTCTAACCACATGGATCTCTCCATAAGGCTGCTTCAATGTTTTTGTGACCGGAGAGCTGACTTCTCCGAGCATGAGTGATGAGAGGGAGAGAAGAGGAAGGAGGAAGTCAAAGTACCTTTTATGACCTAGCGTCTAGAGACAAGCCATCATCTCTACAAAATTCTTCTTCTTTTTGGTGTTCGGTATTGAACTGAGGGCCTTATGCATACTAAGTATATGCTCTATCACTGAGTGACATCTCCAATCCCTACCACATTCTATGTGTTATAGTCAGTTGCTAAGTCCAGCCCACATTTAAGGTAATTGGAATGAAGTTCCCTTTTTTAAGGGAAGTATCAAGTAATCTGTGAATAAACTTCAAAACCACAAACTATAAGGAACACAAACAAGATGGTTAACTTGCGTCACCAATTCAGAAAGTATCACACATTAGTCCCTGGGCAAGACAACTAGAAATGCCCTGAAATCTTGCAACTTTTATATGATAGAAGCATGACTGAAGGGGTTTCCAAATGTGACACTGGTCCTAAAAATTTCCATGAAATATTTCAAGCAATCAAAAATATTTTAAAATCAGCTATTCTAGATATTATGGTTTGGAAATGAGGTGTCCTCTCAAAGTTCCTGTGTTAATAGAGGTATGTTTGGAGGTAAAACAATTGGATTGTGAGAACTGTCACCTAACCAGTCCATCCTAGTTTGAATGGACTAACTGAATGATGTAACTGTAGGCAGGTAGGATGTGGCTTGAGAAGTTGGATCACTGGGGGCATGCCCCAAAGGGGTGCTTCAATCTGGAAGCCCCTTCCCCTCTTCCACCTTCTTTCTCTCTGTTTCCTGGCTGTCCTGAAGTAAGCAGATTTCCTCTGCTTTACTGTGGGCTCAGAGCAATGGAGTTGGCCATCTATGGACTGAGACCTCTGAGACTGTGAGCCCCAATGAATTTTTCCTCCTCTAAGTTGTTCTTGTTGAGTATTTTGGTCACAGTGATATAAAGCTGTCTAAAACACTAGAGGAAGAACATTTTTCTATTCTCTTTATAGAAAATATGCAAACTCAGTCATGTGTAAAGGTAAGCAGAATGTATAGTGACAGAAATTTAGGGAGGCAAGAGGTTTAATCTTCAGGACCACAAAAAAATAAATCAATAAAATAAAGGTATTGTGTCATTCTACAACTAAAAAATTTTAAAAAATCCGTAAGGTGGTTAATTAGTATTGTGTCATTTTCTGGATTTTTGTATTCTTTGTGGTAGAATATATGAGCACGACTGGTTTCATGGGCAAGAAGCCAATGCCATTTCTCAGTGCTTATAAGGGCCCCTACTCAAGGTTTAGTATTCTGTAGTTACTGTCTTGAAATTTTTAATAATTTTATCTTTTATGTTTTGCAGTAAAGCTCCATGAGACAATGGAGCACAAAACAGACCTGGACCATGGGCACATGTGAGTTTTACCTCTTGCTGCCCTTTTACCTTCCCAGGATGGGTTATCGATCATTTCCTCCATGATGTGCAGGCTCCGGTCTCTGCTCTTATCTGCCACCCTTTGCTCTGCAGGGACCTAAGTGCACAGTGCAGGGAAGGTTGGGTCAGGTGAGGGTCTGTGCCCTGTAGCTTCTCTGGGCAAGGCACAATAGTTGTTGTCCATCATGGTTTGTGCCAGGGTGCATTTGGACAACTCAGCAGGGTCAGATCTCTCCCCACCCAATTCAGGTACCTGGTAGGGGGGGGGCAGGTGATAATACATTGAAGATTGCCCTTTGCCTAGAGTGGTGCAAGGAAACAGATGACAACACATGGCTCAAGACATCAAACTCCCTCAAAGCTCCCCTGACTCACATGAGTGTCAAACTCACTCCAAGCTCCCTTGGTCCACATTATTGTTTACACTGGCCCGTTTGGCACCTTTTACCTGAAGGTGTGTCCCCTTGGTCTTCTCAGTGCCTGGTGGGCCCCCTCTTTTTATTTTTAGTCTTCCTGGGGCCAGCTGTATCATCCCTCTGGCTAACCCCAGGCACCCTCCACAAACAAGCCAAGAAATAGAAATTGTATCTTTTCAGTGACCCCCTCATCTAGTTAAAAATGCTCTAATATTTGCATTCAAAGCTGACTTGCCTAAAATCAAGAAAAATGAAATCATAATTAAAATTTTTAATTTCTTCTTAAATAGCAAACAAGAAACACTACAAATTGAGAGACTGCAGAAGAAAAGGCTTTATACTTTAGTTAAACTTTTAAGAGCATTTTTCTTTTACTCTTTTATGAATTCTGTGTTTTCATTTTGAACCAGTTCTGTAAATTATGTAGCAGAGCCTGTCTGACAGCTCGGTTCTGTTTGTAATTTCTTGGATCTCTTTTCTCTTCCTAGAGAATGTTCACTTCTCTACCTAATTTTGCATTTCCTTTCTTCTACTCTCCTTCCCCCAGTTCTGGGACTAGAACCCAGGTTGAAAAGTGCTCTATGGCTGAGTATTTGAATTCTCTCTCTCTTTTTTTTTAAACTGGGGACTGGGGATTGAACCCAGGGGTACTTTACCACTGAGCTACATCCCCAAACCTTTTCATTTTTTTTATTTTGAGACAGGGTTTCATTAAATTACTGAGGCTGGCCTTGAACTTTCGACCCTCCTACCTCAGCCTCCAGAATTGCTGGGATTTCAGGAGTCCGCCACCGTGTTCCCCTTGGATTCTCTTTCTTAAAGACACCCCCAGGAGTGGTAATATCTTTGGTCTCCCATATGAGCTGTATCCTCCACGACACCCCTAATGCCGACCTTGAGAGATGCAATACCGAATTATTTCCCTCTTTTTCATACAATAAGCTTGTTAGAGCTCTTATAACTAGTGGTAGGGGGGAGAGAAAAAAGATAATCCTCCCAAGGGTGTGCCATTTCAAAAATTAAAGGAAATCGCTGGCATCCGAGGGGAGGCCGGAAGCCCGGGAAAAGGAAGTGGGCGAGCACTTGGGGTCCTCTGCCGCCCGCCCCTCGAGCTGCCAGGCCGGGCCAGATGCTCCGGGGCTTCCCCTTTAAGGGGCGGGGCCAGGGCGGAGCCGGCGGCGGCCGGCGCTCCCAGGCTGCCCTGCGCGCGCGACGGCAGTTCGGCCACGTCCCTGGCCACGTCGCGCCCGCTCTCGCCATCTTCGCCACTTCCTCTCAGGGGCCGCCGCTGCCGCTTGAGCTGCCGAGCCCCGGGGCTGCCGCGTCGTGCCGACCGCTGCCACCATGAATATCTTCCGGCTGACTGGGGACCTGTCCCACCTGGCGGCCATCGTCATCCTGCTGCTGAAGATCTGGAAGACGCGCTCCTGCGCCGGTGAGCGGCCGGGCAAGGCCCCGAAAGGCTGGGACGCGGGGCCGGTCACCGGGAGGACCCGCCGGCTTCCGCTGCCCAGCTACCTGTCGAGACGGCGCTGGGCCGACACACCCCTCTGGCTGGCTCGCCTGGCGCTCGGGCCTGGCGTGAACCTTCGGCCTCTCTGTTTGGTGCCTGGGCCGAGCCAGGGTGTTGCAGCGCCGGGCCCCGCAGCGCGCAGGGTCCGCTCGCGAACTTGAGTGGTTGGGGCGGAGGGGCGCTGGCCGAATTGCTTACGGCCCTTGTTCTGCCTGAAAAGTTTGTAATGGGAGTGGAGGTCCAGCAAATGTGTCTCCCGCCTTGGGCTTTCCTGGGGCGCTTCTTCAGGCAGGGTCCCGAGTGGGAGGCCCGCGAATCAATGGGACTGGCGGGAGGAGGATGGGCAGGACCGCGGCTGCTCCGCCTGACGTGGCAGCCAGGCCACCCGGAGAGGTGGGGCGGCCAGGGAGTTGGTGCGAGAGGTCATTTCGCTTTCCACCCTGCCCGTTTAAAGACTGAGATTCTTATTAAATCTGTAGGGTATTGAGCCAAGCCTGGACTTAGAATTGTGTGGGCTTCACCCAAGTCCTGGCAGGATAATGCCTGCCAAGGGAAGGGCGGTGGGAGGTGGGTCTTCTTAGTGAAATTCTTGGTGCCATTCTTGCTGCTTTGAGAAGCAAGCTAGTTTGTCAAACTCCGAATGCCTCCATCTAATAAGTGGTTCTCCTAAAACCGTGGCGTTGGGTACCGCTGAGGTTTCATGTGGTCTCATGCAGTTCCTGGCTCCACGTCACCAGTGAGTTGGCTCAGTCCCTCCCCAGGAGTACACATTTCATACAAGCATTGCTGGGAGGTAGTGAACAAACCTTTCTTAGATAATAGCCGTGGGGTTTTACACTTAATTAATCCTAAAAGCTTAAGAATCATGAATTTTTACATAATTTCTTTAAATGCATTATTTTTGATGCTATGGCCTCAAAATGCATTATTTTTGATGTTCGGCCACATGAAATAGCTTTTGATTAACTCATGAACTTAATTTTTTTCAGAGGCAGTTAAAGATGGGTGTCCTAAAGGAAGCAGGTGGCAGAGATTCCCTTTACCTGGTTTATTTATAAAAATCTCCACATTTAAAGTAGCACCATGTTTTTGACTCTGTTTTCTGCAGCCCTCACCTGTCTCCCTGGAACATAGCTGAGATCCAGGAAGTAAGCAAAACCAAAAAAGACCTTTGAGCAATCAGAATGGATGTCACAAAGTCCATGTACTGAAACCATGTCTGACATAGAGGTGATCTCTCAATTTTTACATAGTGCTGAGAGGCTCAATTGCATGATTTCCAATGGTAGCAGACTTTATTGCAGTGATTGTGATAGCTAACGTTTAAGCACTAGCTATGTACTAAGTAGTCAGCTAAGTGCTTTTATACAGCTTATCCCAGGTGGTTTTTAATCTTATGAGGTAGGTGCTATTATTCCCATTCTGAGAACAGAGGAACTGAATCTTGGGGAAGTGAGCAAAGTAGTGATAGAGCCAGGAATGCAACACAATCAGTAATTCACAATTAAGAGTTTTGAATAAATGTCTGCTTCGGGGTAAACAATTCTAGTTTAAATATTAGATGTCAATAGTGTAAATTCTTTTGTTGTTATTATACTGAGATGTCATTTTTAATCTTTAGTTTTCTTCAATGTCTTTGTATGTGTCTCTTCATCTTCTTTCTCATGTTTCTCAGAATCCTCTCTTCTGGCAGATAGTTAAGTGTTAGAGTGTGCTGTCTCCTAAATTTGTATCCAAACTAAGATGTTTGATTGAATTTAGTACAACTCCAGAAATAGAATTCTTAAATGAACCTTGAGTAACAAAGAGAAAGTGAAAAGATTTGCTGTGTTGGTCATTTTTTAATATTCACTGTTTACATTTGGGAGATTTAGAGCATTAACAGAAATATAAAGTACTTCAGCTAAAATGCTAAGAAAGAAAGAAAAATATATTAGTTTGTATGTGGTTCCCAAGTATTCCTCAGGTATTATTAAGCTATTCTTATTTGTAGACTTAGGATGATTTTCATTCTGATATGAGTTTTCTTGGTCTTTTAAAAGTCAAAAATCACTAAGATCATTTAATCTGAATTAAATGCTAAATTTAATTCACTGCTTTGTTTTCCCATTATGAATTATAAAAGTTGTGTAGAGACATTTGGAGGAGTAAGAACTTGATAAGAGTTTCTCAAATAACTGGAATAGGAGACACGTACATCCAGATTGTGTTTCTCACTTTGAAAATACTGGTATTGAGGCTCATTTTAGGATTTCAGCACCTGTTTTGAACATGCCTATACCTTTAGGAACTTAGGGCTTTTTTTCCCCTAAAGAAAGGGGTGAGGCAGATTTATGAGGAAGCTGGAGATTCGTTTTTTATGGCATTTCTAATTCCAGAATGGTTGCCTTTAAGGACCTATATTAAACTGGGGGCAGTGAGTTAATCTTTGAATCTGCATTCTCTTGTGTCTGCATCTGCCATTGTCACTACAGAGGAATGCCCAAATGAAGCATGTCTCCTATTCCTGAACTACCATTGCAACTTGATCCATAGTATACTCAAGTTGTCACTTTTATGTGTGTGTGTCCTAAACCCTGACCTGAATAACCTCAGAGCAAGCTGTGGTTTTTAGATGAAGGACTTTCTAAGTTTTCTTATATATTATTAATAGTTAACAGTGCTGCATCTACTGAACATAAATGACAGTGGAGTCTTTCTGAGACCCAGCCTTACTCCCCAGTCTCCTTCCTTCTTTCCTAGTAGTTGTTAGAAGGTTGCAAACTTTTCACCCTATCAAATAGGACAGGCCAGAATGATGTTTCCACATTTTATATAATTGGATATCAATGGAAAACACCTCATCTTTTATTGTTGGTGTTGAATACTTCAAGAAATGTTTGCATTCTCAGCTCCCTCTTGGAGCTGTCACCTCTGTCCATTTGAGTTCCAGTCTCTTGAGTAATCATTACTCTCAAGCATTTATCGACTACCTACTGTATGCAAAGCTCTGAGACACAGTTCAGAGCTGCAGCTGGCAGCAATCAAAGATTTTGCTCTTATGAAAGCTGCAGTGGTACTATACTTCCCTAGTATGTGTGATGCCCTGGATTATATCCCCAACACCATCACCCGCCCCCAAAAAAGGAAGAAGTCAAGTTGCAGTTCAGTTGAGATAGTAAAACATGTATAAAAAGATGTGGTTGTACGGGCAGTAAATCCTATGGTACTAAAGCAGCAAGAAAGGTCTCAGAGATGCTTCCCTTGACTTTTCCACAAAGGAGTGTACAAGACCTCTGGAGAAAAGAATAAAACTTTGCTGATGGATACAGATGATTTGAATGTATATTCTTATCAGGGTCCTGGATAGGACCAGCCAGACTGATGAAGAAGCAAGATAACACATCCCTCCAGATCAATTTATTAATTCAGAATGTTAAAGACAACTGAGAAATAATCTGTA